ACGTGTGCACGAACAGGAGAAGCTGCAGAGTTCAGCTGTTACAACCAGCAGGACCAGCGTTGGGCTGCACCTGCTAAGGGTAAAACTAAAGAAGATCACAGTCTTGGACAGAAGAATGCAGCTTAAGCTTTTGTCTGGAAGGAAAAGGGTGAGAGGTGATGTTTGTTCAGGCCTGAGGCGCAGCAGCATTTCTTGCTGCTACAAGACTGAGGACTTCCAGAGAACAACAGCAGCTGTAGACACGAGACACGAACTAGAAAAGTTCATCAACTTGGCTCTCATACAGTTGGTGATCGTTGCTGGATTTATTCAGTCTGTCACTCTTTCAGGATGGTTCTTCAGATTGTGCTGGGCTTCCTGTTGGGCCTCAGCGCTCTGGCCGCAGACAAAGACGTGGCTCAACAGGGTCCACCGCCGCTGCTGCTGGTGTCGTTCGACGGCTTCCGGGCCGATTACCTGCAGAGGTTTCCCATGCCGAACCTGAAGCTCCTGTACAGCCAGGGGGTCCTGGTGGAGCAGCTCACCAACGTCTTCATCACCAAGACGTTTCCCAACCACTACAGCTTGGTAAGCGTGGTTTACTTACTTTACTTTGTGAATTCTTCTTCTTCTTTCGGCTTTTCCCTCTTCAGGGGTCGCCGCAGCGAGTCATCCTCCTCTGTCCTACCTGTGCTGTACCTCTGATCTCGTTCTTCTCCATCCTTGTCACTCCTAAAGAGAACCTCAACATCTTCATTTCTGCCACTTCCAGTTCTTTCTCCCGTCTTTTTGTCAATGCCACCGTCTCCAGACAGATTTAACTAATGTTATTAAGTAAAACATATGTTTTTATTTGTTTAGGGACAAGAGTTTAATATTCACCGTACCATAAACTGTTTTGTCTCCATTTTGGGAAAAAAAATCTACATCTACAATATTAACAAAAAACTGTAAATCCATACCCCACCACTAGGTGGCGAGAATGTTTATTCTAACAGCATTTAATGAATTCAATGAAAACTTTCTCCTTTGATGCCATTTTCAATTTTCTCTGATTATTTCAGCAACAATTAAAGTTTATTTGAAACAGGATCAGAATAAAGACAGACCTGCAGAAAATAAAACATATTTGAAACAAATGGGTAAAAAGAGCACGAAATGATTGTGGACTGAAGAACACAAACACACAAAGTATACTTTTTAAATATCTGGAATAATTTGGATGAAACCTACGTGGAACCACGATGTCACAAAGCACCTGAGGGGCATGATGCATATTTAAAAATAGGGTAGAGATTGAAAATTAGGTTAAAATATAGTTAGTTATCATCTTCAGTTTCTTGAGAACATTTTTTCCTTCGTTCAACCGTTATTTATACAAGTTAGTTCCCACTGAGCCTCAAGGTCTCATTTACAGAAGACACCTGTTTCAGACAAACAAAAGTAGTTAAGGAAAAGAGAAAAACGAGGGAAGGGGAGGTAAAAAAAATTGTATCTCGCAATATGTTGTATCTCGGTACAATGATAATAAAGTTGATTCTGATGTCCCGGCCGGGGCACAGTGTGAAAGTTGAAAAAAACAAAACAAAACTTGCACATAAATAGCAACATACTAATACATTTATGCATAAGGAGGTCGACAAAGGCGGCGAGTTGTCCTTGGACACTTCCAGAAAGTTCCATAGTCCTGATGATAAGAGATGGCACAGTACTTCTCATCCAGCTCAGCTCTGACACAGGTCCACAGATGTCCTCGGAAAGGGAGAGGGTAGGGGAGGGTGGGGGGAGCAGAGCTTCTTGTTCACATAACCTCCAGGATAAATTTGAGGTAGTTGGCCTATTCAAGGCCAAGCGAGGAAGCCAGATTCAGATAACATTTGTTTTGGGACAGATCAACTCTGCTTGATTTTTGGTCTGCCGTCATAGTTCTGCTGGTAAATCTCAATCTGAGTCCAAGTGCTTGAAGCACGGCACATTTCTTCACACAAGCCAGGCAGCTTCACAATTGCCAGAACCGCTGTCAATGTCTTCCGAATTTGTAGATGTGCCAGATACCTGTCAACTTCAAAAAGCAGGAATCCTGTTATCATAAATCCAATTTTGTACCTGTCTTTTACATCCTCAACGGACAATACAGACACACCATCTTCCACTGCCCCCAGGAATCCATAGTGTATCCAGCTGCGGGTGTCCCTTCAGGGCATGAGGGCTCTCCTTCGCCTTGTCTTATCGAGAAAATTTGATCAATTGCATTGAAACCAGCTGACCAGATCCATAATTTACAGTTCGGAAAATATGTAAAGAGAGGCTCTGAAAAAGATTCACAGGACAAGATCAGAAGCAGGAGGAAAAGCGTCTGTCTTCGTCAAGAGCAAGCAGGAAGTGCATGGCGATTGTCACTCAAATGGTTTCCTTTACTTGATTTTAGCTGTCATCCTTCCTCAGCATGTATCTAAAAACCTGAAAAAAAATGGAGCCAAAAACTGTGCCTTGTGGCACACCCGTATTCATGTTAAGAGAAGATGATTTCTCACCTCCAATATAAACAAACAGTTCAAGATAATGGTAAATATTTGTAAAACAAAGATCATTGTTGGTGATCTTCTCTCCAGGTCACCGGGCTGTACGCAGAGTCCCACGGTATCCTGGCGAACAACATGTACGACCCGGCCACCCACAAACACTTCAGCATCCAAAACGACACTGATCCCATGTGGTGGAACGGTGCAAAACCTCTGTGGCTGACAGCTCTCGACTCTGGCTACAAGACGGCAGCTGTGATGTGGCCCGGTTCTGACGTGACCATCGGTAACCGCACTCCCACGCACTTCTTCCACTACAACTCCAAGATGGCGTTCCAGCAACGAGTGGGGAACGTGACGAACTGGATGTTGGGAGACGGAGAGGTGAAAAGAATGACTTATAAATCCACTTGTGCTTACTATGAACCAAATATCTTAAAATCTTTTTGTAATTATTCTTTGACGCTAAAACGTTTTACCATCACGACAGGAGAAAGGAGTGATGTTTGCAGCTCTTTACTGGGAGGAACCGGACCGATCTGGTCACATCTTTGGCCCGGACACCACCACAGAAATGGCTAAAGTGCTTAAGGGGGTACTGTTAGTTGATAGTTGTGTCACCTTTTTGTTTTTCTTTCACACATTTGTCCCCCGTCACAGAGCATATGGGGAGAATTAGGAATTTGAGCATGATAACTTGAAAAATAAATGTGGTACCACCTTCCATTTTGGTGCGTGGCTACCTCCCAGACATAATAAATGTTCCTTTAAAAAACTGGGTCCACTCCAAAATCCAAGAGTGTTTCCTCTAGGTCACTAGTCTTGGCAAGGCACTCATCTCTTCAGGGGTTTTGTTGACAAGGGGGGAATTGGTAAGCAGGGCACCCGGTCCTGTTGACGGTGGGGCGCCCTCCTTGGATAACGGTAGGGGAAACACTGCAAGATGGCTGCAGCCATCCATGTTTTTCTGTAAACATTGTCAGCTGGATAACCTTTAAAATAAGCAACGCGCCAACTTCCATGTGATGTGTAGCTGCATCTAGTGATAAGAAAGGTCACTTTCAAAAACTGTGTTGTCACGTCAAAATCCAAGATGTCCACCTCCATGTATAAACTGATCACCCTAATAATTTGAAGAAACTATCCTTTCTAGTTTTTGCTTAAATAATTGGGGTGGCAGAAGATTAATTTATAGTGACCAAGGCCACCATTGCCCCCCCACGGCTCAGCCATTGTGCCTGGTGTGCGATAAACTTGCTTTGTCTGTTCGCCTGGCTCCCTGATTGCGCTGCCTCGGACAAACAAACAAACAAAAATATTAATCTTCTCCACAGTGTAACTTCTCCCCACGTGAATATCTTGTCCCCAAAACATTAAGGTTTACTTGCATTCTCCGTTCCGTTCCAGTCCAGAAAAACACTTAACCTCAAAATCTACAAACATTCACTCTTTAAATCCCTCGGCGACGGGAGACATCAGTGCACCACTTGTTTGGTTATGAACCACGAGCGTGATTAATTTGTACCAACAGGTAGATGACGACATCGGACTGCTGATGTCAGAGCTGAACCGAACCGGACTCTGGGGTCGCATCAACCTCGTGGTGACCAGCGACCACGGCATGGCCCAGTGCTCGGCCGAGCGCCTCATACGCCTAGACGACTGTCTCCACCCGGACAACTACACCCTGGTGGAC